ATGATGAAGATAATGAAGAAGATGATGGTGGTGATGATGATGAAGATAATGAAGAAGTTGATGGTGGTGATGATGATGAAGATAATGAAGTAAGATGATGGTGGTGATGATGATGAAGATAATGAAGAAGATGATGGTGGTGATGATGATGAAGATAATGAAGAAGATGATGGTGGTGATGATGATGAAGATAATGAAGAAGATGATGGTGGTGATGATGATGAAGATAATGAAGAAGATGATGGTGGTGATGATGATGAAGATGATGACGGTGGTGATAATGACGGTGGAGATAATGATGATGAAAAAGAGAAGGATAATAATAATGATGATGGTAGTGGTGATGATGACCATGATGGTGATGGATGTAATGATGATAATGATGGCGACGACGTAATGATGACAATGTTCCTACTGACTAAGATGATGATGATGGAGATGGTGATGTAGAGTTTGATGTTTGTGCTGTTGAAAATAATAATAAAGGATGGGAAAGTGACAAGGAAATATTTCAACGGATGTGTATTCAAAATTTTGCATTTGAAGATTTAAATGCAAAATTTTTAAATTTATAGTTACCAAATTTTATTCTCTGAAATATATTTTTCTCTCTTTTAACTGAACACACTCGCATACAAAAACATGCATAAAATCGGAATGCAAACTAGACCATGCCGGCATACAAGGTTACAAAAACACGTAGATGTACACACAGACAGACATACACACAGACATATTTACACAGACAGACACATACACAAAATTCACAGACATACACACGCACACACAAACACACATACAGAGACATACACACAGAAAAAACTTGTCCACACACACACACACACACACACACACACACACACACACACACACACACACATACACATACAGAAACACACACTCACATAGAGAAACCAAAATTTACATCCCTATACACTTTTATTTATTCGCCAGCAAACACAGCGCCATATATATTCTCTTCTCAAGTATGAGTGGCAGCATAATCACATATCAAAGTTATTTTTCCCCTCTTTTAATAGCAATTCTATTATTATTATTATTATTTATAGCCAATTTAAAATAAACCTTATGATTTTCTTATGATAAACCTTATTTCCTTGTGACATCTTTATAATTATTAATTTTTTTACATTTTACATTTAAAATAAAATCAATTTCAATAATAAAATAACGTAAAATAATATAGTTTGTAAGCATTTTTTTAATTTGAAAGAGTTTCCTGAATTAGAATGATGGCA